GTACTCGAACAGAAGATTCCCACTCGAATCTGTTATATCTCACACTCCTCTTCGGATTTCTGAGTTCTGTTTCAAATTACTCCACGTTTTGTATCAGTGGAAGACAGAGTTTTCTTCTTTAGATTAAAATTTAAGCATTACGGTGCAGCCATTTTCTGAAAATTTCCAATACTGCCTTTCATATCTTATGAAAATCGGTTCCAACTGGCACCGATTACAACCGGCATATGTTACAATCGATAACTGGTTACAACAGATATCTGATTACAACCGGTATCGGTTGTTTGGTTAGAACTGTAACCGGTGCATCCATAACTTATGGATGCACCGGTTACAGTTCTAACCAAACTGACCAAAAATTCTAACCAAAAATTGAAGACTGAAATTTTAATTATTTGTTAAAAAACTTCCTTGAGAATATCAATTATAATTATCGGTTACAACTGGTATCGGTTAACCGTAAATGGTGCATCCCTAATTGTATTTCTACATGCCTTTTTCAAAGTGCAATCGTCTACTGTTTTTCCTGTAGCAGCAAGCATCGCTTTTGCTCTATTTCGAATTCCAGTCAGTTGTACTTCTAGCTTATGACTCGCATGCGGTAGATTCAAAATATCAGTAATTATTCTATGAGCATTCTTAGACATGCCTAAAAGTAAAACTTCCATTTTATTGTTATACGATATATAATGTCAGTATATAATGTTTCAATCAGTATATAACGTTTCCTAACGTTTAATCTACGAGTCATAAGTAATTGGACAAATGTCGAGCACTATTTCTATATGTTCCTGATGTGCTGGAAGGTTAATTATTTTTCCGTTGGAACGAGCAAAGTTTGATCTTCAAAAAATATAGAAATCAAACTTTTTGTGATTGAGTTTGAGTGAGACTAAATTTGAATCTCAAGCACCGCCAGAAAAACTCTTGTGAAGTGCCTTTTTCTTTATTTCTTCACTATAGCCAGACAGAGAAATCTTTCTTCAAAGCCCAATAGATGAGAATGTAGCATGTGCAAAACTCTATCGATCGTTCTGCTTTCGAAAATCTTCCAGTTATTGGTTGATAGTAATAAAAGCGTATATAAAACTTTGTTTTGGTAAAAAATACTGCTTTGCATCAGAAAGATAAAACATCGAGAAAATCCATTTTAATCATAGCGCAAACGATGTTAGTAAAGGCTAACACTAATGTGAGTTTGTAGACAATTGAATGCTGTTACGAAAATTCTATTTTAGCAAAAGAACAGAGCTCGATCAGTATCTGAAAATCATTAATTAAGTCTAATTAACTGCTTTTCTGAAACTATTCAAAAACTTGGCGATTTCTGGTTAAAAAGTGAATCAGAACATGATTTATCATACCCCATTCGAAAGGACAACAAAAGCACTTCTGGTTTCTATAATTTGATAATTTCAAACGTACTCAGTTATTGGAAAAAAAATACGTTTGATAAGAGAGGTAATCAGGAGACTGCGGACGTTACAAGAGTTTTTTTGGCGATGCTTGAGATTCAAATTTTTTCTCACTCAAACCCAACCACTAAAGGTTTGTTTTCTACGTTTTTTGAAGATCACACTTTACATGAGTCTATCTTTTGGAAAAATTACTTTTACTTCATTATGTTGTTTACCCATTTGAGAATACACATTAGGTCTGACTATCATGACGCGAAGAGAAAGCCGGACAGTCATGATAGCCAAAAAGAGTTTATCTAGTTGTTGAATATAAAAGAAGAAAGTAAGATTTTTTAGAAGTTAACCACCAATGTGGCGAGCCACATATTTCCAAAACTAAAACGGGTCTTTTTCTAGAAAATACATCACTATCTAGTATAACTTGTGATTGATTTTCTCGCTAACCACTCTACTTTATACATTATTCGATAGAGGATTTCACGGACTACAAAATGATATACAAGATAGTCTAAAGATAATGTAACTGGGTAGTCCAAGATGAGAAATACTTCGTAGAATCCCAGGTAACCGATAGATCAACGTCGTTCAACTCTATATTAGTGACTAATATTCCCGTTAACCAATCCACTTTACACATCATTTGATGGAGAATTTCCCGGACTTCAAAATGATATATAAGAAAGACTAAGGATAATGTCACTGCGTAGTCTAGGATTCGAAATACTCGGTCGGTTCCCGGGAAATCGGTAGGTCAACGTCGTTCACGTTTACAACGACGACTGAGTTCCTCGCTAACTGTTAGGTAGTTGGGTCATATTAAACTATCTTGTGGTCTTGTATGTGCACAGCAATATGCTTTTAAATAATATGTTTATTTTGACAATACCATTTGATACACAGTTGTTAATTTTCATACAAAAGCCCACTCCTAGTGAGAGAAACACCACTATTTATAGGCTAAGGAGAGAATAAATCTAAATATCCACTCACCTAGATATTTAGAGATTTGACTCTTGAAAGATATACTGAACAGTTACCGTTACTTGTACAGTAACTGCTTATCCGTTACTGTTACCAAGAACGTCAACTGTTCAGCAGTTACAGTTACCGAGTAGCGGTGATAACAGTAACTGTAAAGTTCCATCTTTGATTTACGACTTGTATTTTTAGAAAAAACGTAATCGCCGGCAAAATAACTAGGATCATTTCGGCCTTTGTCATATCGTTGTTTCTAATAATGCTGTGTAGTTTTGATGTTTGAACATGCGGTTTGTTGATAAATCCGTAATAAACGCTGTATTTGGATCCAATAATCGGAGGGTTGGATCATGATGAGTGAATCCTTTGGTGGATCGAACGGCAGAGTGGCGTGGCGACCATACATCAACTGAAAAGGTGTAAACGTGGTGGATGCATGTTGCCCGGTATTGTACGCAAATGTGATAGATGGTAAAAATTCATCCCAGTCATTGGTGTTTTCTGATTGTAATTTGGCCCATTGCGGACGAAAAGTAGCGTTAAACCGTTCTACCTGACCGTTTGTTTATGGATGATAAGGAGTTGATTTTATATGATGAAAACCTATCTGTGCCGCTGATGCTTTGAGGAGATCGTTGTTGAAATGGACACCATTGTCTGTGATAGGACGATGTGGTACACCATATTTGAAGATGAGTTCATCAACAAGGATCTGGGCAGTTGTTTGAGCAGTATTGGTTGGTATTGCTTTAGCTATGACAAATTTGGACAGATAGTCGGTAATAACTAGCACGTAACGGTTGCCGTTGGTTGCTGGTGTTGTCGGACTCCAATAGTTCATACCGCGTATCTCCATAACGCCTTGGGTGGCTCGATCAGTAAAAGTTTTCCTGGAGTTTTTGTGCGACGAATATTAAATTTTGCACATTTTGTACAAGAGGCGATATGATTATCGATGGATGATTTCGTTTTAGGCCAGAAGTAGCGAGTTTTTAATTTCTGATATGTGCGTTTGGTACCCAAATGACCAGCTGTCGGATGATCATGATAAGCTTCTAATATCTCGGTTACTAATACAGGTGGTACATATAAAAGCTTGTGATTTGTATTTCGACGAGTTGGCAGAATTTTGTATAAAATTTTGTCCTTAACGATTAATGTAGGATGAGACGAAGGATCGGCGAGTATTTGTTGGATGGTTTCATATAGTGTAGGGTTGCTATGTTCAGTTCGTTTAATTCGATCGATACTGAAATCTGGTGGAAGAGACGACGTGGGATGGGGAATAGCAACAGGCGGTGTAGGATATGTCGAGGCTGTTGCTTTTGTCATAGAGCGTGTAGTAACATTTAATTGTGGCGGTGATGATAATAAGTTGGGAATCATGAGTGTTGCCAGTATGTGAGCAAGGTCAAGTCGGCTCATAGTATCAGCATCGCCATTCGTTTTCCCTTTTTTATATTTGATAAGCTGAATATTAGGTAATAAGTCCTGATATTTGGTTAGCCACGTGTTGATACGTTTGTTGTTTAATTTATAATTTTTGTGAAAATTTTGCAAAGGACGATGATCTATTTCCATAATAATTGGTCTGTCGCTTAAATAATGTTGAAGCTTGTGCAAACACCCGAATACGGCTAATGCTTCACGCTGTATCGTAGAATAATTTTGTTCGGCTGAATTGAGTAATCGCGATAGATAATAGTGTAATGTATTTTTCCATCTGTTTCTTGTTTTAATGTGCCACCGATTACATACCCAGAAGCGTCAGTCGATAAAATAAATTGAGCTGTGGGGTGTGGAAATGTAAGAAGTAATGGTTCTGTAGCTAATACGTCCTTTAATTTAAGAAATGCATCATGTTGTTCTTGGTGCCAATAAAAATCTTTACGTCGAAGTCGAGTTTTGTTAGTAACTTTATGGATAGGCGCAGTGATTTTTGCAAAAAATCGGCGATACCAATTTAGTTTTCCAATAAACTAATTAGCTTGTTTTAATGTACGAGGTTCTGGCATATCTAAAATAGGTTTAATTCGTTCAATGGATGATTTGATTGTCGTGGATGTCACGGTGTGACTTAGAGATTCGATTTCTTGTACGACTATCATACATTTTAGCGGATTAAGTTGAAAATTACGTGCGTGTAAAATGGCCAAGACTTCGTTTAAATGTTTCATGTGTTCATCGAAGGAACGACAGAATACCATAATATCATCTAGGTAGACTACCAACCAATCCCATCGATTATTAGCTAAGAGGTTATTCATAACACGTTGAAATGTGGGCGGTGCATTTGCTAAACCTTGTGGCAACACTTCAAATTGATAGAGGGGCCGTCCTAAGTGACAAACGCAGTTTTTTTCTTTGTCAGCCTGTTGTATGGGGATCTGAAAATATCCCGACTTCAAGTCTAATTTGGTGAACCATGAATGTCGGCCGATGCGTTGTAATAGCTCCTCTGTATTTGGTTGTGGATAACTGTCTTTTTTGGTTACTTCATTAAGTTTACGGTTATAAACAAGAAATCTAAAGCTGCCATCCGGCTTTTTGAGCAAAATTGCTGGAGATGACCAAGGTGATGTTGACGGAATAATGATACACGCACATAACATGTTTGTAATCCTTTGTTGAATATCTTTACGTTGCTCGATAGTTTTAAAGTAAGGTCGTGTAGTGACGGGAAGACGATTTCCGGTATCGATTACATGTTGAATAGATGTGGTAGCTTGTAGAGGTCTGGATGTATCGAAAAGAGTCGAATAAAGTTGTAAAATTTCAAAGATTTTGTCGTAGTTTTGTTGAAGTGTGAGATGGGATAGCAACGATTCAATGACATCAGTAATCGCTTTAGATGCAGTCGCATTATTTGCAGTTGAGTGTGTAAATGTATTTAAATATGGTGTAGTTGGATATGGTGTAATTGGTGACAGATAACTAGTAGATGGAAGATTAGATAAATAACCGACAGTAGTGTTTTTCTGGATTGTTACCGGCATCTGAATTATTGAATTATTATGAATTATTGAAAATAGTAATTTCGGCCCTTTCTTGAATAATATCGATGGTGCCGTTGAAAATTCGAATAAGTTTACGATTTTGGAATTTTTCATTTTTTGCATGAAAATAATGATATGTATCAACTGTTGTTGGTACGATTAATTTGGCTAGACATTTGTGTTTAGGTAAAATATGATAATCTTTGTCGAGTTTCAATGGTAGCTGATGATCGTGAGCGAAATTTACAAAAATTTTTTTATAATACGTAGATGCAGAAATCTGACGTTTTGGCGGCATTATATTTACATCGTATTTCTTAATCCAGCCACCTCCCAAAATAAGTTCTGCTGCTAATTCTTTAACTACTAACGCGTTGATTTCAGTGGTAAGATTTTGAAGAGAGATGTTAAGCCGAATGGATCTACAGGTGTCTAATGATGTTTTTCCGTCACCTAGGGTTAATTTTTGTGAAGGATAATAATAATGTTTCTTGTTTATTGTTCGTAACGTTTTTTCGGATATAACAGACTGACTAGCGTCAGTATCTAATAAAGCTAAAACGTTATGTCCATTTATGAAAGTGTTTATAAAGATTAATAATGGGTTTATTAAGTCCGAAGAGGCACTACCATCTGTAAGCGTCTCTGTTACTGCTTTTTTGGCTGCCAACAATCACGAGCATAATGTCCTGTTTTATTACAATTATAGCAACGAAAAGTAGGAGGACATGATGCTGGATAACGTGTATAATAGGGCGAAGGAGGACGATTAGCCGATGGTGACCGAGGAGTCGGATAACAATATGGTGACGTATATCGAGGTTGATAAGACGTATTTGATGATGAATAATTATACGGCTGTTGATTAGTAAATTCCTGAACACGTATTTGTTTATCCAATTGTTGTCCAGTATAATTAGATTTGTTGGCATTAACCAATTGATTTAGAACTTCTTCTAGGGTATATTCTAAAAATTCAGTGGGTGTTTTTGACTTTTCACGTAAAACTTCTTTGGTTAAAGCTGGTTTTAAACCTTGTTGTAGATGATCGAGTTTAGATGCATCAGTCATTCGATCGTCAATGATATTACATAGACGTATAATATCAGTATAATATGCAGTAACAGGTTCATGTAATTCTTGTTTACGATTACGAAGTTTTTGTGAAGCAATCTGTTCAGCAGCTGGTGATTTATATACAGCTCGAAGATGTTGAACAAATTCATCCCACGTTGTAATGATGACACGATTATTTAGATACCATTCTAAAGCATTGTCCGTAAGAAAGCTCGGTACAACTTGTAGTGCTTGACTAGGACCCAATTTTTCCATATCAAAGGAAGCGGTGATATCACGTAACTACAGATCAACATCCTGTTCAATTCTTCCACTGAATGTATTTGCTTTTTTCAATTTATCAACGATTAAATCTTTGACTATTGCATCTACCATCATAAATTCTTTCGGCTGATAAATAAACGTAGTTTGAGGCTGTGATGTAAGATGGTTTGTCTGTTCGATTTCAGTGTTAACAAAATCAAGTAAATAGTAATGCAGAAGTTCTTGTTGGTGCTGTAAAATCGCTTGTTCGGCTGCTCTGGTAATGACCATACGTCAGAATGGAAGTTTGGCTAGTGCATGCACCATTTGTTAGGTTTTGCCTAAGTTGTTCAAATCTTGACTTATATATACAATCGGTTTATTACGAAGGAAAAAGCACTCTCTCTAGTACAGTATATGCCTGTGTATATATATATAGACGAGAAAGAACGTAACAGAAAAACATGATGTAATATATACAATGGTGTCACAGGATGGCATGATGAGATAGTGACTATATGAAATACATTTCCTGGAATGTTCCTTTATATAATCACGCACTAGTACAGTGACGTTGCAGTATCTCTGTCCATCTTAGGTCTCGTGACCGAACAGGTGGGTTATGGTACTCGAGGATGGAGACCATTAGGTGCTAGGATGGAAGGCTTTGCTGTAAATAGTTTTTGTTTTGTGTATGTTTTTTTGTAAATAATTGTTATGTCAGTCGTTACTGGCATAAGTTATAACTCTCCCAATAGCATTCTCTTTGTCATCATTCCTTCTCTTATCATAGCTACAATCATTGTCTTCAGATTCTTTTCTCTCCCTGGTCTGGTCGATGTGGTTATTTACAAGTAAGCGAATAAATATTAAAGATGGGTTTTGTTCTAAATAGGGGTATCACCATCTGGAAACCTCGTTATTTGTTTAAACAGCCGAGAGCATAATGTCCCGGTTGACCACATCGATATCAAAGGTTTGAACGATTTCGTGTGTTTGATGCGTATGGTTTACGAAATGGCGAAGCCGACCAATAATTGGATGTTGGAAACGAGGATATGAATAATATTGTGACGATGAAGAAAGGTAGGACGGCGATAATGATGTAAATGATGGATGTTGAGTAGAAGAGACAGGGTAGATACTGGATGATTGTGAGGTAAGAGTAGTAGAATCTGATGTTGCTTGCAATGTAGGAGAATCAATTAATTGCTGGTCAGCTTCGTACAGCTGTACTATTTCGAATAATTTTTCAGGTGTACATATACCTAGACAGCTAATTTTTTCTAATAAAGAGATTTTCATATCATTTTTAAGTAGATCTAATTGTTGTTCAGTTGATAATTTCGGATCGTATTTATAACATAATTTTTTAACATCACTATCATACTGAATAAATTTCTCATCATGATGTTGTTCGGCTAATAACAATATAATAATAATTGTCGGGCTAATAATTGTTGAAAAATGGCGGTACGAGTAGATTCTGGTGATGGTGGATAATTGGCATGCAATGCTGCTTTAAAAGCAGCCCATGTGGTTATGTGCTCTAGTTGTGTCGGTCAGATACCATTTTAAAGCTTCACCAGTTAGAAATTGTATTGACCATTTAAGTTAAACTTATGGAATTTTTTCAACTCGACTTGCATTCTATGCTCTATTCTGAGAAGTTCCTGAAAATTTGCGTATTTTTGACGAGAAATGAGTGAAATATACGGCTTGTATTTTTTGATGGTAACAGGCGAAAAACCGAGGTTTTACCAAATTGGCTTTTCTGAAGTTGTGGTTGGGTGGGGAATGAAGCAAACACCGCCACGGTGATCAGTATGGTCGATTACCTATGGTTCACATGTTTCTGAGATTCCCAGACGTGTCCGGAAGGGGACAGGTGTGTCCTCGAAAAATACCTGTATCTCCGGAACCAAAGCAGACCTGGGCTTAGCAGAATTTTGAAGAGAACTGTTTTGGCTATTGATTGGCATTATTTCAGGTTGGACTTCATAGTGTGGTTGGGAACGATAAGCTTTCGGATTTTGCGTCGAATGGTAAGCCTGATCTGTGTGAGACTTCTTCCCCTCTTAAAATTCTCCACCGTCTTTGTGTCAGTTTTCTGGCTACTCTCTTTATTGAAAAAAGCAAAAAGGAAGAGGGAAGAAAACACACCACGTTTACAATTGGAACTGTATCTCTATTCGTAGTAAAGAAACAGCAGAGTGATACATCCAGATATGTACAAATACTAACAAAAGAACATAAACGAAGCGAGAATGAGTGAATATCATTACAAAGATATATACGGCCGCTGTGGCATGATAGTAATAAAAAGAACTAAAGAAACAGTGTTATGCAGAGAATAAAACGAACCCAGATGCGAGATCAAGTACTTTATGTAATTATTTTCTAACAATCGGGAACCCTGATTTTTTTGTAGATTTGCGTTTCAAAATGTCTAGTTGCAGAATCTGAAAACCGCAAGTCTCTATCGCCTTTCGTTCAAAAGCTATTCAGAAAACATCGAACTATATTATATTTTGGTACAGATAATTATCAAATACAATATATTTTTCTAAAATTCTACTAAAATGTTCTCTTTTTCTCTATTTCTTGTATAAATCCAAAATAAAAATTAGTTCGATCATCGGATATTGTCGTATTTAATTAATTGATCATTAATGAACCATTCAATATTTTGTCAATCTCAGCTTTTAAATTTATTTGTTTCTATTTTTTTTGCTCCTATTAATGCTATTGATGTAATCATTATCGTACGAACAATTGGTAACAATTGTATAAACAAGGCTTGAACATATTATTAATTGGTTTTTATGTTTGCATAACAATCACTGTACACTGTAAATTTTTTTGAAACTCTATTTTATAGAAAATCGACTTTGAAAAAGCTAAAGTGTTTTCAAACTTTTATTATTCATCCGTCGAATTTCAAACTTTTAGAAAATGCTTGATTTTCTAAATAATAGAGATTCAATTTGATTTCCTACAGAAAATCGAAACTTGAATATCAACAGTTTATTTTCAAGAAAGTAGAAATTCGTCTAGGAATTTGTATGGACTTTCCTAGAATATCGTTTATGATACTCTATAAGTTGTTTTCTAGTCTACCGTGTATAGTGCTATCGTTTATAATCACACTGAATTAACAAAGTGATCGAGATAATATGCTCCAACAGAAAATGAACTTGGCAACAAATACATCAACGACATATGATAGGAATAACTGCGGTATGCGAGAGATATACCTTCACAGTAAGAATACAGAATGTAATATTTGCTTGCCAATAGAGAAATAAAGAAGAATGTATTTTTTTAGGATTTTAGTGTTTTTTATTCGATGAAATGGGACCTGAAAGACAAATGTCGTCGCTTTTCGAAACTTTTGCTTGAAAATTCTTCAATTTAAACACTGCTTTCGCCAGTTTTGTCTAAATTTAATACTTAATTTTTTGTCGGTAAGTATTTCACAGTTCCACTTTTTGTAATAACTCTGATTAAAAAAAAATGCCGACCCCACCACACGTCAGTGTTCCAGAAAATTTTGTCGTTCACGCTACCATATTCTTCCCACCCAATTTCTGTGGCTATCCCTACTTTCTTTTCCATTGAACCGCCATTTAACACAAACGACGAGTAATTATGCAATCTAAAATTAATCTAGGGCATCCCTGCTTTTCTCTTTCTCAGCTTTCTCCTATTTCGACGAGAACCATTCGAAGATAATGTGGAATTTTTACCAAAGAAAGAACGTTGGAAAAAAATGCAATGTCTTTACTCAGATTTCTTAAGCAAAGTTCATTCATTCTTCCAAGATCTTTTGAAGTTGAGTTTGTCGTTTAGCTCTATCGTTAACTTTTAGGGTATGATACGATTAAATTAAATTTATATTTCACGACACGGGTTTGGCGTTATTAACTGAACTCCCTTTATACTTTGTTTCTTTATCTTTTTAGAATTATGACAAAAATATGTATCATCTCCAAGAGCTAAAAGACACCTTTGTACAATATCCAGTTAATTCCGTAACAAAACTAATATTCAGTAGAAAATTAATGATTGAAAATTATTGAGCTTCAGACAGTTAAATATTGATTGAAATATTCTGATTGAAAATTGAGAGGTTTCATAATACATACCCGCTTTATTGTTTGTTTTATTTTTATTAAAAGTAACCGATATTTTGTTGTTTATGGACTACAAGTCACAACAAAGATAGTTTATCGTGAAAGCAAAACATTTAATAATGATGGTAAGCTTTCAAAAACGCACTTGAATTCTAAAAAAATAAGCTTGCTGTTTATGAGACACAAAAAAATCGACAATTTTTAGATAATAATTATATTTTTGACTATAGCAAAACGCCAAATTTGTTCATTGTCTTTTATTGACGGTCCAACTAGGCACTGAAATCAGAGCATAGACTGTAAGACATGCAATAAATCCATTATCGTCATTCTTATAATAAAAAATGAACTCATAAAGTATATTTCATAACTTACTTCGCTCACTAGTACGATAAAATCGTGTGAATTATTGAGTATATCAACATTGGTTGCTTTCAGAGCTGGGCAAGTCAAGTCAAGGCTCACTTGACTTGACTTGACTTGGTTCAAAATTTTAGGGGGATATGACTTGACTTGAGAAATTCTTTTAAAATCAAGTCATTTCTACACTCTGTAAAAGGTCGTAGATTAATAAACTATCAGAAAGAGTTTATTAAGACCAATAAAGCATTTAAAAAATATTTTTCCGTTTTTTATATCCAAAAAACTAAAAAACTAAGAGCTTTTTAGCTCTTTTTTTAAACTACTGAGAAACTGAGAAAGGTTTTCTATTTTTGATAAAAAACCACCCGTTTTTCATTTTGCACCTATCACAAACGCTTTTTAGTTTTTGGATATAAAAACCGGAAAAACGTTTTTTAAAAGGTTCATTGGTCTTGATAAACTCTTTTTGATAGTTTATTAATCTACGACTTTTTTTAGAGTGTAGTAAGAGATTTTCGTTTAAATTAGACGTTTTCTACCATGAACGAAAATTTCTAATGCTATAAAAACTCTTTCACCGAAAAGGTACTAGCAAATTTTATATTCTACCTAATTTTAATCAGACTTGACTTGACTTGGAGGAAAAAATTTCAAGGGATGACTTAACTTGACTGGTGACTTGCAAAACTCCTGACTTGCCCAGCTCTGGTTGCTTTTTATTAGATAGTATTATATGGTAGAAAGATGTAGAATATTAAACGTCACCTAACCTCTTGATATCAGAAACGTAATAATCCAATTCGCAGTATCTTACAACAATCAGCATTGTCAATTACTCAAGGAAATACGTCTCAACGTCGAATATTACCCAGCGTCAGCGTTAACAAAGCAAAAATCTCTAGACGAATGTCTCGTGAAACTAATGCAATTGTTCCAATTTCCACAAGTACGTTTCACGGTAGAAAGCCGTCTTATTCAGCTAACTGGAATATTTTTTCAGGTCGACCGCGTTCACAAACCACAAATAGTGATGAAGAATTAGGTGAAATTAAAGAAAACAGTGACAAACTGGTAAGCTTGATGATTTTATTTTTTGATATTTCACTCCTATATTTTTTGATAAATTTAGAGTGAAAACGTCGGATGGTTTGGTGCATCTAGGTTTTCCTGTGTTGTATTATTTGTGTCATTGGGATTATTAGGTGTGCTTGCCTTAGGAGGGTTACTGACTGCAATGATACTCTACATCATGGGTTCGTGTTGTCAGAGACGTGTTGTCTTTGAGACTTAAGATATTTTTTGAAAAGAAATACTGAGGAAACATTAGAATTGTGTGATAAAAACTAATTTGCTTTTTCTTAGATAGTTCGAGTAATGCTGTATGGAAAATATTGGGCATTATAATCTGTGCCACCGTTATCATTAGTGTTTGTGTTGGTATTCTATATTTGATCGGTATCTACTACAAAAATCAACGAAGTTTAGACGATGATTCTGACAGCGAAAAGGAAGAAAAGCAGAAGGATACAGTAAAAAAACTGGTTGAAAATAAAGCAAACGATTCTTCCACTAATCCGAATCATACTAAGCTTGATCAAAAGGTTTTGAAGAAAGATAACAACCAAACTAATTCAAATCATCTGTATGCTAATAACAGTAATAATGCAAATAATCCCGGTCAGCAGTATCTTAACGGAAGTGTCAATCATCAGTACTCAAACGGAGAATCTGTACCATCATCTTTGTCTTATGGACAATCAACAACTCCAGTCAAAGCAGAGAGGAAAACCAATGGTAAACAAAGGTATACAGGAACATCAGTAACAACTGTTAAAGTGTTGAAACAACAACAACAATCGCCTCAACTAGGATCATCCGATCAACAACAACTGGTACATTCAGCGAGGGTCATACCTCGACCAATAATTGTTCAGGTTCAAGACCAACAAAGCCGGAACCAATTGCCTGAACACACCCAAATATCGACGTTTAAAATTCAACCAAACGTCACATATCAACCAGTACCTCAATACCAGTCTTCAGTACATCAACATTCGCAAACGAAGCAAGGTGTACCGGTCTTTAACTTGATCGAACAAAAACAACTTCCTCCATCACCCTCTCAGCCAGTTGTGCCAGAAGAAGAATTTTACGAACTGAACAAATTCTACTAGAAGAATGTAGCATCATACTGATCTTAACACCACTCGATGTGACTAAAATGAGCATAAAACATCGAAACATATGATAAAGGCTATACTGCGGTGTGTGATCTGTTTTGTTTGGTATTCTTCAAACGTCTATTGGTAAATGCGTAGTTAATCGTCTTTACCGTTATACTTAACATCAACAACTACAGTAGTAATTTGTTTCGATTCTGATTGAGCGATTAAAACAGTTATAGCGTTCGTTTCTCAACTTTCTATAAACGAGTTCCTTTTAGCAGCACTACACTACATTATGAACGTACTTGGTGCATCCGTACAGCACGCTTACCAGTATTCAATTTACATACTTCGATAAATCACTCTTAAATACTCCTTTCGTCTGGAATTTAATTTAGAGAAAAGATTGCCTGAACTGAATGATAATACCTAGTATTATTATTCAAGCCCAAGAATGCTTGTCAGATTCATAGATGAATTCCCTTATTCTGGACAAACTGTCATCAAATAACACTACAGCAGCTCTACTTTATTATAAAAGTAAACAGAATGCCTCGATATTTGTGTTGTTGGCCACGGTATTAAAAGCCATCTAGCTTAAATCGCGGCGCTCTTAATTCATGTAATGACCTTCAGCAAATTCTTTATGAATCGAAAAATATCTGTCCGCGATGAGTAACCCTCCTAAGGCAAGCACGCCTGATAATCCCAATGACCAAATAATACAACACAGGAAAACCTAGATGCACCAAACCATCCTACGTTTTACTCTAAATTTATACATATACTCAATAATTCACACGATTTTATCGTACTAGTGAGCGAAGTAAGTTATGAAATATACTTTATGAGTTCATTTTTTATTATAAGAATGACGATAATGGATTTATTGCATGTCTTACAGTCTATGCTCTGATTTCAGTGCCTAGTTGGACCGTCAATAAAAGACAATGAACAAATTTGGCGTTTTGCTATAGTCAAAAATATAATTATTATCTAAAAATTGTCGATTTTTTTGTGTCTCATAAACAGCAAGCTTATTTTTTTAGAATTCAAGTGCGTTTTTGAAAGCTTACCATCATTATTAAATGTTTTGCTTTCACGATAAACTATCTTTGTTGTGACTTGTAGTCCATAAACAACAAAATATCGGTTACTTTTAATAAAAATAAAACAAACAATAAAGCGGGTATGTATTATGAAACCTCTCAATTTTCAATCAGAATATTTCAATCAATATTTAACTGTTTGAAGCTCAATAATTTTCAATCAATATTTAACTGTTTGAAGCCCATATGTAGATACCCTATTGAGAAAGTTATTCGAATTTTGTTCAAATATTAGACAAATATGACTAAGGAGAAAAGGTTCCCAAGTGTGCAACCGCTTTTTTCTTGAAATCTAGTCGACAACAGGTAATCGACTGCGCTAAATCCGAATCTGACATCGGTTTGTGTTGCTAGGCCTCCAGAGATCGAGTTTCCGGAAAACCAGGTTTTCAGAAACTCTAAAAGTTAACCAGAGCCTCTTTTAATGAGGCATGGTTGTATACCGTAAATTTCTGATTAAAATGAGATATCTCCCAGCTCTATACAGCCTTTCTTTCCAAAGTTATAGAATTTACACGAAAAGCCCAAAAGGAATTTCTTATTTCTGTAGCTTTGAGCTGACAATGAATAATGAACGAGTTTCTGCAACGGTCTCTGGAGGCCTAGCAGCACAAACCAATATGCGATTCGGATTTAGCACGGTCGATTACCGATTGTCCACTAGATTTCAAGAAAAAAGCGATTGCACACTTGGGGAACTTTCCTCGTAAGGTCATTATACTAGAAGGTTAAGATTTGATAAGATCTTTTCATGATACAGGTTACTTTGTGACGAACTTTTTGAGACTGGATGAGAATCTGTCATGATATCGGCTAAGTCTATGACGATTTATCGCAAGATTTATTAGCAGTTTCAGTTTCCCAGAACATCGAAAACGGTCACATTAGATGCCCATTAATGCCTTTTTTAAATTTTGAGAATCTCAATAGATATGTTGTCTCTGCCACACATATGAATTTGAGCCTAAAGTTCGAACATCGATTAAGCATCGTAGAAGGAAATCGGTCGTTCTTTCCGTGCAATGGCTCTTAAGGAACCATTAACGGCGTGGCCCGTTAACTCTGCTACTGAAACAGAATTCCATAACGGTTTTTCATCATATTATTTTGCCTGCAATTTCTAAACTGACTGCCGTAGAGTGTCACGAAACATCTTAACTTCAAGAGAAAAGTCTGGTTAACATTTTAAGACGTTTTTTAGCCTTACAACATGTATCGTTAAGAAGCTGTAACCTAAACATTCAACACTAGTTTCTAATTTTTTCCAGTTTAAGTTTTGCAAAACTAGTATCGAATGTTTAGGTTACAGCTTCTTAACGATATGTGTTGTAAAGCTAAAAAGAGTCTTAAAGTGTTAACCAGACTTTTCTCTTGAAGTTAAGATGTTCCGCGATACTCTACAGCAGTTAGTTTAAAAATTGCAGGCACAACAAAATGATGAAAAACCGTTATGGAATTCTGTTATGGTAGCAGAGTTAACTGGCCGTTAAATGACATTTTTGGTCATTCAACACAATTTTTTCATTGTTTTAGGTATTTTAACTGGTAATGTATTAATGTCTAAAAGTGACAGTTTTACACGATGAAAAAACGGTTCACAAACAGACATTTAATTGCATTGTGGAGAAACGTACACGTGCAGCGTTTTGACTATTAAATGCCTGTTTTTAGACCATTGGATAACTGTGTAAAATTGGCATTTTATTTAATGCGCTTAAATGCCATTGCTTTTGTTATAATAACCTGTTTAATGTCCGTTTTTCGGTTATCGTAGAATATTTTCTCTCCATTACGAGCACGAGATAATCAGCGCTTTATGCCTTTAAATGGATAGCTTTTTAACGATGCGTTGATACTAAGATACCGATTAGTACTGATTCAGAAACTACTGATTTTATTGTTTCTGATCGATTCATAATAAATTACCCAACATGTGATAATAATCATACGTTTTTGAGGCGCCGCTAATTTAAAGTTGAAGCGCTTTTTAGTTTTAGCGTTAAGGCACATGTATAGATTCAGTTTTAGTTGCCGATTACGAATATGTCCTTATTTTCTCGATTTGATAAAGTTTTCAAGGAAAAAAACGCAAAATACTAAGAGGGTGTCAAAATCCCGCAAAAAAGCTTCCTTAAGAAAAAATAGGCTTTAGCTCATTGCCATTGAACTTTTCGCTCTCAGCGTTCAAAACGTTAGAGTGCTCATTTGTATGCACATTTCATCTTTTGCCTGCTAAATACTAATGACAGTTTCTTTTATAGTGGCAGCGAATTTAGCATTTTCACAACCATTCTTATGTACTTCAAGTAAGGGGAAAAAGGGATGATATTTCAGGTTTAGAACGGATTCCTTTAAAGCAGTTAAAGAAATTGATGAATCCTATTCAGACTTTACTTTTTGCGTCTCTTTTCTTTAACTTGTACTGTTGTATTTGTAGCTGTAGACTCTGATCAAAATACAATAAAGCCTGTCGTCGTCATGTCACAAAAAATTATTTTTTTTTATCAGATCACTGTGTTATTCTTTTAGATCGTGCAATTGCTGCAAAAACTGTTCCTGCCCGGCAATCAAATGATATAGAAACTCAGTCGGTGAACATTTCGTGTACAAGACCGAAAAATCCAGATCCATTAGTACGGATAAAATCAATGTCAAATTCAGCAATGGAAAGAAATTATCAACATTCAACAGAAGAATTGTGTAACAAAGTAAAGCAAATAAGAAATATCAAACATGTCAACATTCCATTGTCCATGGTTCATCATATTAAACGATTACAGCAGATGACCTTTTTGAGCAGACGATCATTAATGGAAAATCAACATAACACCTCCTCATTAAGTGACAAAATTACACTGTATCCTGAATTACTTAATGAGTTTGTGGTATGTAAAGTTTAAAACGACTATTTGTTTCCCAGGGTCAAAAGTGGACGATTTGCTTGGATTTGATTTCTCTTTTTAAGATACTATATGAACATGAACTATTGACATGTGAAGAAACAACTAGAAACAACAACTCAACCAACAATTGAACCAATTCTGAATTAGCTATGCGAAAAGTTTTGGATGATTTGATTCAAAAATATAAAATTCTGCAACAATGTGTAGATGTTCTTCTCTTTTGGTTTCATAAAAAATCAATTTTCTGCCTGCCTTCTAGCAAAGTCAAGCAGATTTTTCCGCTGTTGAAGATCTTTGCAACGAACAAGGTTCAACAAGGTAGTCATGAGATAGATGTCGCCAGAAATCAATCCATTTTGATAAAACAGTCAACTACGGATAATAAAACTTACAGAATATAGATAGTCTGTCATGGCGAATCGATCAGAAATACTTGCAGCGTCCTTTCGGCTTTCCAGAAAACGTTTCAGCTTTTATATTCGGGTGGATCCATTCAAGTCTGTCCAATTTACACAGATATAGTAAGCGCAAAAATTTCAACACTCCTGTCGTATAGAGCATTAAAAGTTACATAGACTCCCATATTTGTTCGCTAAAAAAGTTATATCTACATACCTGTTTAGGGATGTCAAGTGTTGACTTCCAAGCGACGCCCATCTTCGAAGACTCTTTTTAGAAATAACCAACTTTCGCGATAAAAAGTATTCAGTCAAATTTTTTTCATTTTCTATCATTTGCAGTACTCGCTGAGCTCTACAAAATGGCATCAAAGATATTTTTCGCTCGTTCCATTTTCACTCTCTTTTCTCCATCAGCAAAGTCAAAAATATCGATTACTGTTTTCACTATTTTAGCGAGACTTTTACGCTGATTTTTCTTTTGACTTCATAGTACATGGACAAACGTCATGAGTGCGGCAGAAAGTGATTTTTAGCTACAGGAATTAATTGGATGAAAAAGTCCACAGAAAATTCTGAGGAAACTCATATAGAGGGCGCTGTTTTGCTTTTTTCCCAGAATTGACTGAAGGAATTCAGCCGATCTTTTGGATTTATGGCTAAAGGCTCGAAAGTAAATTTGTGTGAACTTTTCATCCAATCAATTTCAGTGGCTAAAAATCACTTTTTGACGCACTCCATGCCGTTTGTCCACCTACTATTACACTAGAGTCTTACGAAATGGTTGTCGGTGTGTATGTGTGCCCGCAAAATACGGAGAAATGCTCTCAGATATTCCGTGAATAAGCCAATCACAAGAGAGAAAATATTTAAAGAGATAACTGAAATAATTTTTCTACGAATTCGGATCGAAGGGATGCGTGAGCATTGTGTGTTGTTTACAAGTAGTCTCACATCTCTGTAAACCTTTGGAAAGTCTCGAGGAACGTTGTCTTCGATTCAAAGTTATGGGAGATCGTTCCCAAATATAAGTTTCTAAATTCAAGGGACCGAGCGTTCGTTTTGTGTGTTTTTTTCGCTCTTGGGCACACCATACACACAACAGAAAACAATATAGTATTAATAGTTTTAATTTTTTCAAATATTCGTCTGATACATTATTTGCTGCATTTCTGGCAGCAGCAGCAAGACGCGCTGCAGCTTTATTTATCAAGCAATTACGAAATGATAGAACCAAAACGGTTTTATAATATGCATTGAAGACATTCCCAGATATCATATATTTGTGACGTATTGCTCCTATAAATACAAATAAATTACCTAGTAAGGTGCCGGTAATTCAAAATTTAAGCAAGTTTTTATTTTTCGTTGATTTATACACGGGTGGATAGGGCGAAAAACATTCACAACAATACGTTGTTTTAGAAAAATGATTCTGTATGTCCATATTACTAAAAGTTCATTAAGATTTTTTCCCAAATTATGTGACGGTAACACACTTTTAATTTCTTTGAGCATCTACGACAGCAGTGCTTTGAATATCGAACTTTGACGAGAAATATTCAATAACCTTTCGTTTGTTTCACTTGTTGTTACTGTTGTATACGGATGCAGAGGACGTAAATCTTTCACATATGTTTCAAGTGCATGGATGAAGATTGAGCTAATCATTGAAACGTTTAAAAATAAATAAAGTTTATTTCGAAAGAAAAATACTTGTCTATAATTATAAAAAAAGTTGATAAAACCATTATGATGGGTTTGGTGTTAAACGCAGAAAGGGAAAATGTCGAAAAAAAAGTAGGAAAACGTCGAAGAGGAAAACATATACATAGAAAACACCGAAAGACGTGATGTCGAATTGGACAGATGGTCAGCAGGAAAAGGTCGAATGTAGATGAAAGATGTCTATATCTTATGTTATTTTATCTTCACAGTTGTTATAGGTTATTACTGGAACAGAATCATTCCTTTATCTTCGTCGACTGAACTTTCTCCATCGAGGGCGATCGTCTGTGTAGACAGTATTTAATCCAGTCATTCTTCGACTTTACATTAGAGAACTAGCAAATAAGGAGTTATCCCCTTCTTCAAAAGATATTGCAATGTAGGCATTGCCACATATGTAACTATAGAAGAAAATAGATTGTTTTCTCTTGCGTTCGCTCCCTACTTTGATACGAAACGGAAAATTTATAGTGAGGGTGAGGGTGAGAGGTAAAAATGAAATCAATGCAAAGCAGCTATTACATGGCTTTGGATTGTTACTCGCCGGGCCAAAAAAATGAGATCAGGAACTGACATTTATGTCCATTTTTCTTTTCTCTGTGATTTAATTGAAATTTTTTTTATCATCTAGTATAATAACAATAAAAATATCTCTCGACATTTTCCCAGTCGATCTTTTCCTTTCGACCTTTTCCTGCTGACCATCTGTCCAATTCGACATCATGTCTTTCGGTGTTTTCTATGTATATATTTTCCTCTTTGACGTTTTCCTAGTTTTTTTTTAGAACTTTTTTTTCCTCACCCTCACTATAAACTTTCTGTTTCGTATCAAAGCAGGGAGCGAACGCAAGAGAAAACAATCTATTGTCTTCTATAGTTACATATGTGGCAATGCCTACATTGCAATATCTTTTGAAGAAAGGGATAACTCCTGATTTGCTAGTTCTCTAATGTAAAGTCGTAGAATGACTGGATTAAATACTGTCTACACAGACGATCGCCCTCGATGGAGAAAGTTCAGTCGACGAAGATAAAGGAATGATTCTGTTCCAGTAATAACCAATAACAACTGTGAAGATAAAATAACATAAGATATAGACATCTTTCATCTACATTCGACTTTCGCTATTATCCTTTCGATGTTTTCCTGTTAATTCTCTTTCTTATCCAACACTGTTTCGCGATCGACATTTTCCTTCTCATTGATTAAACATTCGCTATTTGTCTTTTCGACCTTTTCCTACTTTTTTGTCGACATTTTACTCTTCTGCGTTTTCCGCCAATCCCTTCCGAATTGAGACCACTTTTCGGATAAATTAATCATGATCTGATTAGCATCAAATAAAGGTCAGAGGGCGATCAAGCGAGAGTGAAAGTGAGTGCAAAAAATTGGTCTCAATTTGGAAGGAGCCTTTTCTTTAGATTGAAAAATTCAACCTTTTTTAAGTGTTGAGAGAACATTTCTAAATGTTTATTTTTCAGCTGTAGAAAGGTTTTTTCTTCAATCATTTATTTGTTAACATGTAGCGCATTAAAGTCTCTGTCGAATGGTATAAAAAAAAAAGGTTCATCTATTCGAGAAACGTCTAGAAAATTAGAGACAATTAAGTGCATGACTAATTATTCGATTCGCAAAACATGACTTGGAGCGAGACTAAGATAGAACAGAAGGAAAGCAAAGCACGAAACAACACTACACTGTAAAACTATTCACTACCAGAAGCTGATCATCACATAATATGTGTCAGTATCGGCGACAGTCAAATTGGAAAATCAAGGATGTTTGTCTTTTATACGACGACTATTTTTATATATTTATTTTACTTATCAATTCATTTGAACTAAGAAAATAGATGGAACGATGAATTTTGCAATACATAAAGTTAGACAAAAGTATAATATCTAATAATCCAGCTGTGTAGAATTTCATTCTTTTTAACTTTTTTTTAGGTTAAAAAAGGTACAGGTACAGTTTTTAATAAACATTTTCACTTTACTTGATAGAACAAGACAAGAACTGGACTGTATACATTTTCTTTTTTAAAAAACATGCGCATGTTTTAACAAAGTACCTAGACAACATTATCAAAAAGATGAAAAAAACAAAATTACTGACTAGTGTGTGATGAAATTAGTCTCTGATTCCTTGATGTTTTCTGTTTTCCAAACCGTAAAGGACGACGTATAAAGGGAAATCGTAGCGAGAAGGACGTATAAAGGCACGGACCGATTGTTCCGTTCCAAGACTAGAGCTTGAGCGCGTATCATCAAAGATTCTTTTATTAAAAGTTTATATCTAGTTAATATTAGACGAACTAATGTGCAAACATTTCAAACAGATTTTTAGAATTATATAGCAGCCGAATAATTTGTCCTTGCACAACGCATACTAGTGCATGTATGTGCTTCTTTTCTATGTAAGAGCCGCATCAGATAAAGTGTAATTTGAAAGGAACTTTTTTTGTTGTGTTTAGTTTTTGTTTTTCTGTCGTTGAAGAGAGCAAATATGTGCATATAACCATTTGTTGAAAAGGAAAAAAAGAGCGAATTTTTTTTTAAATATCAATCCTTTTGTATATAGTAAAACACAGGAAGACGAATATTTTTTATCTACTGTGATATCGATAAGCGTCAACATACGAAGTGAGAGAACATGTTTTCAATTCTTTTAACCTTCACACTCATGGTGTGTTTTCTTCGCCGAAAACACAATCAATTTTAACATAACGAGAAAAGTAAAATAAAAAAATTTTGTTAGTAGAAGCTTAGTACGCTCTCTTCAACTATTGTTCTAAAGTTCACACGTTTAAAATGAAAATTCGTTTTATATTATGCTAGCTTTTGAACTTTTGTGAGTGACATTACTACAGTAAAAATGTAGATTATTCATAAACCCTCTATTTTGAATAAACTGTGGTTGAACATCAGCACGAGATCTTTCGCAAAAAGACTTCTATCACGGTTCGTATATAAATCAAAGCAGTTGGTCTAGCTATCGTCTAATTCACCGGTCTGGCTATCGTCTAATTCACCATTCTTTAGAGAACTAGCTGCCCTCCCAGAATAGAAGGCCAGTCTGGAGCGAAAATTTTTCAAAAAACGCCCTATAAGAAGGAGTAGGGCAGTTTTTCACCAAAAAAAGTGCGATGTGCAAAACTATCGTAGAAGGCCATGGCCTTCTATTCTGGGAGGCGTTTAGTTCAACTGGAAAGTTATAACCACACTGAAAAATGACTCAGATAATTTCGCTAACTGTTGACGTGCGCTTGCCGTTTGTTGTTTGTTTCTATGGATTGAATGACATTTTACTATTGAATTTACTTTTTGACCTCATTGCCATTTTTAGATCTAACGCGTTAAGATGTCATCTGCAGATAACAAGAAACCATTAGTCGTCATTACTGGTGCCTCATCTGGTATCGGTGAAGCAGCTGCCATATCATTTTCGGAAGCAGGTCATCCTCTCTTGTTAATTGCACGACGTCTGGAACGTTTAGAGCAGTTGAAATTACCAAATACAATTTGTTCAAAAGTTGATGTTACCGACTTGGATCTATTGAAAAAATCGATTAGTGAAGCCGAATCAAAATATGGTCCATGTGATTGTTTAGTAAATAATGCTGGTGTAATGTTATTGGGTACAGCTGATAAACAAGACCCGAAAGAATGGCAACAAATGGTTAATGTTAACATTATGGGAGTAATGAATGGTATACATGTTGTTCTACCGGGAATGATTGAACGAAAACAAGGTAAACAAATTAATAATGTCATAAAATCTTTTAGCTGAGACTCTTCTAATCTGTTTGTATAGGTACAATATTAAACATATCGTCAATTGCTGGTCGTAAAACATTTCCAAATCATTCGGTTTATTGTGGAACAAAATTTGGCGTTCACGCTCTTACTGAACAAATTCGAGAAGAAGCAGCACCATACAACGTTCGTTTAATAACAATTGCCCCGGGAGTAGTTGAAACAGAATTATTGGGTCATACAACATCGGACGAGATCAAAAATAACTACAAAGAATGGAAAAAAACAGTGGGCAAAGTATTGGAATCCGAAGATGTTGCAAGATCAATATTATTTGCCTATCAACAGCCACCACATGTTTGTATTAGAGAAATTGTTCTTTGTCCAACAAGACAAGACCGATAAACACAATATACAAAATGATATGATTTTTATGAGAAAAAATTACTTTTAATATTTTTAGAAAATGAAATTGATGGGTTGAATTTAAAATAAATTATTTTCACTCAATGTTCTTACATGATAAATCCTATTTATCACGTGGGTGATAACAAATGTACTTATTAAATACATTTGCCATATAGAATAGTAAACTCGGAAACAGTTCAGATACTAACGGATGGGTCAGAAATAATGACACACTTTTGTTCCCTTTTCTCCCGAGTAAAATCGAGGTTCGGAGATTCCATTCTAATCTCATTCGATAGAGAATTTTCTGCTCTACAAAATCCATCCCCTTATTTCATTACATATTATTTCATTAGTGTAGAGTAAGGATAGATAAAACGTAGAACTGCGATTTCCTAACAAAATTTTGGTGCCTTTTCGTCGTATTGGTGTAACTTTTCGAGAAATAATGTGGTAATTGGGAGAAGAAGATGGTATAAAAATGTTCAGTTTCAATTGTGAACCTTTCAGTGCACAAGTTAATCTGTGCTTTCGGGTAACGTTGAGATTTTGAAAAAAGCAGGAAAAGGACTAGCCAAACAACGCAGTGAAAGTGTGAGTTATATGGTTTTGTAGAGCAGAAAAGTTTCTATCTTCTGAAGTCAGAACGAAGTCTTCGAATCATACGGAATATAGATAAAAATAGATATATGAATAACCATCATTTCAGGATCATCCGTTCTTAGTAGCAAAATGTTAGGAAAAATTTTATTTTTCAATGTAGATTAATTAAATGAAGACGAATTCTTTATGCAAAGTATCTGTGATGAATAGCTAACAGAAGCGTTATTAAATTATCAATTAGATCAAGTACAAAAATAACTATAACCTGTTTCGTCCGTCGCAGTTCTACGTTTTACCTGTCTCTACTCTGCACTATTTTTTAAAATAATGAAATAATATGTAATGAAAGAAGGTGATGAATTTTGTAGAGCAGAAAATTCTCTATCCATTGAGGTTAGAATGGAATCTTTGAACTTCAGTTGTACTCCACAGTGGGCAATCATGTGGACATTAGCTGAAAAAGCGCAAGTGGACTTTTGGCAAATTCACATAGCAGAACATATACTTCGGCAAACGCTCAATCTTTTTGCCATTGGAAATTCTTTTCTAGGTGTCATAATTAGCAACAAGATTGCTAAGTAAATTTTTGTCGTAAAACAGGGTTTTAATGATACAAAAATGATTTGCGGCAAAACAGAGAATGATATTTGCAAATTTTATACATATTAGAAAACTAGACTTTCCAGTCCATCTATTTATAAAAAAACTTTTTTGTAGGACGCTTTATCACCGAGAAAAAAAGTTTTGCTTCAGTACTAAATGATTACCAAAGAGCAGACCTTGGTATAGTCGGTTTCCGATTTTCTCCGAAGCTCCAAATGCAACAAAATTTTTACCGAAGATGCGTCTATCAACAATATATCCATGCTGTTAGCCCAAAATAACCCAAACGCTCCTGAACTGAGTTATAGGTTTTTCAAAAAACCTGGGATTTTCAGGTAAAATCCATTTTTCTCACCCCAGAAATGCTTTCATAAAAAACTAATAATATGTTTAGAATAAGCGTATCGAACTGTATCGAATGATATGTCAGTCGTATGCTTTTATGCGCAATTGTGGGCAATTATGACTAGACATGTGGACATGTGCTATAAGAGTGATACAAAAGCCTCTAAACACTATTTTTATACGTTTTCGTATGCGCTCTTTCCAATGGTGTGGCTTACAAGTTCAAAGATACTTTTATCAGGTTTTTTCAAAGATCCGATCTGTGGAAAGCCCGACTGAAAGTGTTTTGAACTTTGTCAATCACACCATTGAAAAGAGCGCATACGAAAACTTACAAAAATAGTGTTTAGAGGCTTTTGTATCGCTCTTATAGCACATGTCCACATGCCTAGCCAAAATTGCCCACTGTGTGCTCGGAAGAAAAGAGAACAAAAGTGTGTCATTATTTCTGGTCTACTTGTTACTAAGACGATTTACAAACTTTTACAAAACAATACTTGACATGGTCATATAAGCGTTAATAGTGTCCTTCTCTCAAATCATTCATCATAGTAGCTAAGCTAAATTTTTGTCCGACTTTTGGAAATAATATAAATCAAATAGAATCAACCCCAAAACAAATGACTCTAGAGCTTTTCTTATCTCTCAAATTCCAATATATTGAAAATATATGAATTCTCTTACATTCCAGAGGGACTCCTCAGAATAGCGTAGTTAACAAACTGAAGAGTTCTACAGAAAAATATTTGCTTTTAAAATACTTTCTTTTGCATGCAACTGTTCATATATACTGATAACTATAACTCATGTGTGATTCACTCACTCCTGCGCGGTTTTTTGTGGAAAAGTAGTTTAATTTTTAGAAAATATCGTTAAAAATGTTTTGCCCTGTCGCACCCCCCTCCCACCCCAATCCTGAGTGTCTCCGACCGTCTCTGTAATTAACGAAACAATTGTTAAACGATACATATCAGATTTTATGGCCTCTACGCGGCAAAAGAAGGATAAGATTGTTCTTGATTTAATTCAAATCAGTGGCTAACAGTCCCGTTTTATAATTAAAGTTTCTCTCGAATTCTTTTTACATCACTGAATAGACCATTTTTAAGCCTATGTGGAAGTGGACGATTTTTTTGAAACGAAAGTTTTGACGGTAACTAGTGACCATAAAGATGTGTTTGTAAAAAAAATTAACTTTTACAGAAAATAAAAAACCAGTGTATCGTTACCTAAACAAAACTTGAATCATTCATAATTTAAAACCAGAATCCTTTGAAAAATCTATTTACCGAAAAAAATTATCAATCATGTTCTCAAACTTATTCAACAGACATATGCCAGGTAGAGATGTATGATAAGGATGAAACTAAGGATTTACAGTGCAATATTCGTGATCTCCATATCAATTTACATCGTTCTTATAATAACTTTCCGCATTCCCAAAACACTTTCCAGATGAATGCAAATGAAATATTAATGAGCCATTAATGGCCAATTATTGGTATGAGAGAAGGATGATCAATTAATAGCAGAAAAATGACCGAGGTATGATCCCATTTATTGATGATTATTAAAATGATAAAAAAATTGGCCATTAACACGTTGGCGGCCAGAGTAAACAAAAACGCAGCCTAATGTATCACCGGTGATGCATTGGCAGCCAACGTGTTAATGCTCAAGTCAGAGAAAATGCACAAAAAATGATTATTCCATAATGTTCATTTCAAGATCATTTTTATGACATTAGCTTAGCATTATTTATATGCAAGTACTTATCCGATTTCTATGAGATTTTTATATCATTTTTAAATTACCATGAAATGATGATAAAATGACAAAAGAATGATCATAAGTGGACCGTTAATGGTCTTCCTAAAATCCAAAGATTTTGCTTCGTTTTTTCATAAAATTAGTTTTTATGCATATGAAAAGTACGTCCTAGTTGTCATGATCAGGGACAGGCTCATATATATATATATATAAAAACTTATTTAATTTTATATTAACTTACGAGGGAACCGCCTGAGGTGCTAAAAATCTTTTTGAGTGGGACTATTTT